CTCTCTCTTTCTCTCTCTTTCTCTCTCTCTCTCCTTCCCCTCTCTCTCTCTTCTCTCTCTCTTTCCCTCTCTCCGTCTCTCTCTTTCTCTTTACTCCTCTCACCATATTGCAATTGCATGTACAATAGCTTAAATGAAACAGTCGGTTTGTTTTGCTTTATGCTCACTGACCTTCACGTCCAATTTTGTTGATAGGGACAAAGGTCTATTTTTGCCCATCTCCATCAGCTTCCTAAAAATATATATATTCACAGCAAATGAAAAATGCCCTTTCTCGTTCTCTTCCTCCCTACCACCTCCCCCTCCTTAAATTCTATTATTTCTCCTTACCTCTCTTTCTGTAGTCTTCTGTTTTCTCTCTCTCTCTCTCTCTCTCTCACCTCTCTCTCCCTTCTCTCTCTCTCTCTCTCTCTCTCTCTCTCTCTCTCTGTTTCTCTCTCCCTCTCTGTATATATCTCTCTCTTCTCTCTTTCTCCCTCTTTCCCTCTCTGTATATCTTTCCCTATCTCCCCCCTCTCTCTCTTTCCCTTATCTCTTTCTCCATTTCCCCCCTCCCACACCATTGGCCCCTCTCTCTCTCTCTGCTATCCACACACTACTCTACAAATGTGCCATTTCTGCCAGTGATATGAGCTAATGAAGTCTATATCTTTTGTTTGTTTCAGAGGCGTAGATTCAAGGAGTGGTCAGTGACTGTAGCAGCATGTCTAGTGGCCCCAGTGTCCAGCTGACGCTTGTGTCGTGCCTCCTGGCCCTTGCCTGGTCATTTCCGATGTCAATGGTGAGGCATAAACACGAGATAACACGTTTCAGAATACAGACAAACAGACACAATCATAGAAGGAGAGAGAGAGAGAGAGAGAGAGAGAGAGAGAGAGAGAGAGAGAGAGAGAGAGAGATACTGACAGACAGACAGACAGTCAGACGGACAAACAGACAGACAGACAAACAAAGAGACAGAGATTGGAACGCGGACAAACTCTCTAACATACGCAATGTAGCCTGCAGTCTTGCAACAAATAGCATTTGACAGTAGTTACATCATTGCCTTTGTGAATGAACACAGAAGAACCTTAAAAATTGCACTAAAGAGCTCAAAACCTTATTGTGACCGAGTAGCGACGTTTTTGAACTCATAAAAGAATCGAGCAGCCCTAGGCTTGGATCATGGTGCAGTGTTCTCCGATTTGACCATTACGAAACAGTTTAGCTTCGAATCCTTGTGAAGTTCGAATCGCCCTTGTCAACCAAAACTATGGTTGTTGCCCTCCTTGCGCTAGTTTAGTAAGCTCAGCTTACACAGTGCCTTTCAAATGTTTTAATGATACATTCCTGTCACTGTTTTACGAAACCTAATTAGTGCTTGTGAAATTAAGAGCCTATGTAGGCATGGTGGTAAGCATCACTCACATTGTATTATTGTCACCTCCGCCCACCAAATAAACAAACAAACATGGCACCTTCTTTCGACCCTGCCCCTATCCTTGCAAAACCTCCCTCCCTCACAGCAGCAGCAGCAACAACAACAACAACAACAACAACAACAACAACAACAACAACAACAACAACAACAACAACAGCAAGGAACAAAGCAACGTATACCAAGGTGCAATAGTATTTCCCATTATGACGAACAAGAACTGCCTGATCTTTTGAATTTGCACCAGCCTGAGGGCCTATGCTTCCTGCCTAAGTTTTGAGAAAATTTGCTGATATCACATGGGTCTGCCAGCTTTTGCCAAGTCTCAGTGCCCTTGTGCTAAACGAGAAGAAGATTTCGGATCGCTGTATAGTCTGTCAGCGTGACTGTTAGACCCAACTCGCTATGGCAGACCGCTGTTTGCCGGCAAATCCGAGAGCAAATCTTGTCTACGCACCAGAACTTTGTCGCCATGTTTGTTCTGGGCTCAATTGGCAGACGTCGGACCTGTGGGCGGGGCAGATGATAGGCTCCTTGTTCTGGCAGGCGATGAGAAGCTGTTTTCCCGCCTTGTCGAGGAAAGTTTCGGAATCTGATGTGCGTGTCTGTGTATATCCACCAGAGAGAGAGAGAGAGAGAGAGAGAGAGAGAGAGAGAGAGAGAGAGAGAGAGAGAGAGAGAGAGAGAGAGAGAGAGAAAGTGAGCATGTTCGTGCTTGTGTGCGTATACATATATATATGTATACACATGTATATTATATATATATATATATATATATATATATATATATATATATATATATAATATATATATATATAAGATAGTTATATATGTATATGTATATATATATATATATATATATATATATATATATATATATATATATATATATATATATATATATATATACACTAGCTGGGCCCCCTTTCGATGAAAGGAATGATCGGTGCAATAACATCAACTGAATATCATTGGTCTACTATATTTACACTCCACTGGAATGGAGCAATAAATCTTGAGAGAAGAGTAACGCATGTGTTTCCAAGTTGCCAAATATATATTAGACTATTTAGAGGCATAAATTGATTCTCTATTCCGCTTCCGTGGTTGCACAGAAGCGTGTTGAGTGTTCCCAGTAGCAAGAAAAAGAATTTGACAAAGGAGTCCAGAAAAAGCGATGATGGGCATCAAACAAAAGGATCGCAGTCGAATTTAGCAACAAGTAAAAAAAGAAAACATGAGGCTAGATCTATACGGGTCGCACACTTAAAATAGTGCTCAGAATTGCGTGACAATGCGCGATAGTATCAAACGGAAGTACGACTTGAAATAAACAAACCTGGAGGATTTTCTAAAATTACAGAGACTGAAGCGTCGGCCTACAAAAGCGATCGGCAAAATAAAGAAATTTAGCTTTTTTCAGCTAAACTGTCTCAAAACTGAAAAAACAAAGGGTGTCATGATCTGGAGAATATTTTAAAGAATCTTTCGGCGAAAACCGCATGTCGATCGATGCAGCCATTAGAAAGCCTTTTGAATAGCAACATTCGGCCACCACAAATATATATAACTAGCTGGACCCCCTTTCGATGAAAGGAATGATCGGTTCTTTAATATCAACTAAAACTCCTTGGCCTACTATATTTACACTCTACTGGAATGGGGCAATAAATCTTGAGAGATGCAAAAAATTATAAGATCTAGATCTACAGATCTACTCTCAAAACAAAATGCGCCTCGCGAAATATCACTTCCCGATTTTCTAAAATTACAGAGACAGAAGCGTCGGCTTACAAAAGCGATCGGCGAAATAAAGAAATTTAGTTTTTAACAGCAAAACTGTCTCGAAACTGATAAAAAGAAGGGCGTCATGATCTGGAGAATATTTTAAAAAATCTTTTGGCGAAAATCGCATG